TCAGTAAAGGACAGAAAAATATTCAGAGATCAGGACTGTGATTTTGCCAACTTTGATGAAAGTTGTAAATCCAAGACCAATAGAACTCAATAAACACCTTGACCAGTCAGCACAAAGGAAACCACACCAAAGCTGGGTGTAATCGATGCTAAAAATCAAGAGATAGGGCTGGGGTTGTGGCTCAGCCGTAGAGCGCTCATCTAGCACATGTGAGGCCCTGGGTTTGGTCCTCAGCACCACATAAAAATAAATAAATAAAATAAAGGTATTGGGTCCAACTACAACTGAAAAATAAATATTTCTTTAAAAATCAAGGGATAACTAGGAAAATTTAAAAACAGCCAGAAGGGGAAAAAGAGAAATGAAATTATACAAAGAATCATAAATAAGAATGAATCCCAGCTTCTCATCAGAAACAAAATACAAGTCACAAGACAATGGAGTGGCCTCTTTAAAGTGTTCAAAGGAAAAAATCTCAGAAAACAGAGACTGCACCAGCTGCCAGCACCTTCCCAACTCGTATCATGAAGCCAGTATTACCCTAAGGCAAAAGCAGATAGAAATATTATAGGAAAAGCACAGACCAATATTCCTCATGAAAATAGATTCAGCAAATCCTTAACAGAATAATAGCAGTGAAATTCAACCATAGGTAAAAAAGGATATAAATTTTCCCGGTAATACCAGATTGTTCTAATATGAAGAAACTAATCAATCTATTTGACCATATTAACAGTCCAAAGGAGAAAATTATATCATTTCAAGAAAAATTGAGAAAGCACGTGACAGAATTCACAACAGATAATGAAAACATACAGTGATCTAGGAGGAGAAGTAAATGTCCTTACACTACAGAAGGCATTTTAGTCATGGTGAAATGCCAAACGCATCCCATCACATCAGCGACAAGGCCAAGGGAATCTACTCTCCCTTCTATTTCACACTGTCCTGAAGACCCTAGCAAGTGCAAAAGGCTAGGAAAAAAAAAAAAAGAGGCATCCAGCCAGGAAAGGGTGGTGGGACGATCCCTGGAGCCTATGAGGTCAAGACCAGCCTGGCAACGTAGTGAGAATCTGTCTCAAAACAAACCAACAGAAAGAAATAGAGGCATCCAGGTGGGAAGGTAAACAGTGTCATGGAATCTACAGGGCGTACTACTAGAAATAGAGTGTGCTACTATAAATAAGTGAAATTAACAAGATCAACAGAATCAGGGTAATAGGTAAAAATACAAAAATGTTGAAATACCACTCCAAAATAAAAAGAATGAATTGTTGAAACACTCAACAGCATGGCCAGGATCTCAAAAATCAGTATACTGTGCTGGGGATGGAGCTCAGAGGTAGAGTTCTTGCCTAGCGTGCATGAGGTCCTGGGTTCCATCCCCCACACCACGAAACAAACAAACAACCACAATGTTCTGAATGAAAGAAGCCAGACACCAAGGAGTACATACTGACTGTATAATTCCATTTCTATGACATTCTAGGAGAGGAGGAATTCATCTTTAATGACAGAAAGCAAACTGTGGCTTCCCTGGACTGAGGATTGGGGATTAATTGCAAAGGATAAGGAAGGAAAGTTTTAAAGTGATAAAAAATGTCTTCTGGCCTTGGGGTGGGGATTATACTGGCATATATATTTGTCCAAACTCACAGAACTCTGACTTAAGATGGGCCTATTTCATTGGTTGTAAATCATACTCCATGGAGTTGATTTTCAAAAAATTGAAATGTAAGTATCACCTCCTAAGCAAAAATAAACCAATGATTTGAGCTGCCAATAACTTACTTACTGACTGAAAGCATTTTTTGTAAGCACTGTTTGCACTGTGCTGAGATGAAATGGGAACATTCCTGTGGCCTGGAGACAGCATCAACGGACATGAAGCAGGGGGGGAATAGAGAAAAGGAGACAGAGAAACTAGGCAAATGTTTATTCCTCCAGAGGTCATGCATCACTGCCCATGTGTCAGCTGGACTGCTGGGAAGTGTTCCCTCTTTGGTCCTCTCAACTGGATCCCCTAAAGCCTCTCTTTCTGGGAATGAGGATAATAAAGCCTAGAATTCAAGGAGAATGCCTCCCTCCTCTTCTAGCACTTAAATATGATGTGCAGTTATATTCTCCCAGGGCACCCATAGTCTGCTCAGAAATATTAACATTAACACTCATACAACAAATATGTGTTGGCTACATACCATGGACCAGAAACTGTGCTTATAGCTGGGAACAAAACAGACGTGTTCCCTTATCTTGATATTAGAACAACTTGGGATAGTGGGAAAATAGTTTGAATTCAAATTTTTCCTGGTTCTAATCCTGACAGTGCCTGCCAGGGAAGCAGGAAGAAATCCCTTGAACTTTCAGGGCTTTACTTTTCCTAGCTTTCAAATTTCAATTTTGAGAATCTGAAATATTCCAGCAGTAATTTCTAGCTTGATGGCCATTGTTAATACTCATTGCTAATGAGACTGTGGCACTGTTTGTTTGGGGGATTGGGGCAGGAGGGTTGTTGCAGAGGGCTGCGCCCCGCAGATCAGAGCACAGTGACATCATCTGTACGTTGGAGAGCCCTTTTCTTAGCCTCTGATGCTATTCTTGGTGGCAAATCAAATCATCTGAGAAATTTGAAAACTCCCAAGGCTCAGGCTGTACCTCAGACCAATTAAATCAGAATCTCTCGGGAGTGGGACTCATGCTTCCGTAACTTTTAGACTTATTTAATTACCTGTTTATTTGCCCCTTTCATACCCATCACTCTTCAACCCCCCCCCCCCCTTTCAAAGGCAGTGGCTCTGTGGAATTGGATCTGTGGCAGTGAATTTGGGGCATACCATTTTGGTAGCAGGTAGCATTGTTCTGTGTATTTAATTGACACCCTGCCACAGCTACTGTGATTAGAGCAAGGTAGAACATTCAAGCTGAGCCCAGGGCATGGATGTAAACAGAGCCCAGGTTCTGTGAGCCTCTCCATATTTTAATCATTAAGGAAACAATTATGGACTCTCCATTGTTCTATTATCCTCAACATTGCTGCTTCATGCTGTTCTTTCACTCAGCAGACATTTATTGGGTTTCTGCTCTGTGCTTGGCACAGTGTCCTAGAGTCTTTGGAGAGCAGAAATTAACCAAGTGGAGGGAGAAGCATTCAAGAGGTCAAAATAGCAAGTGCAAAGTACCTGTGGTATAAAGAGCTTGGCCAGCCAAAGAAATTGAAAGTATACTGGTGTGTCTGGAGCACAGAGTGCTGGGTGCATGGAGTGAGGGGAGACTGGCCATGTGGGAAGGGGCCAGGCTGCCCAGCATCTTGTGGACAGGCTGGGGCTGCAGGGAGCATGGCAGGAAGTTGCTTCCAAAACTGGTGCCTTTCAGAAATACATTGACTGTTTGTAAGTCCACAGTAAAAAGACATTAGCAAAACAATTTTAAAAATTAGCAAAAGCAGGGTGAGAGCATGATTGTGAGTCATATGCAGAAGGTCACCAAGAGTGGCACATTTTTATTTGGTTCCCTCCCAAACAAAACCACAGGCCCCACCCCTAAGTTTTTGCTCCCTGATAACAGTAGGTAGTATGGACTCAGAGCTGGATTCATGCCAGAGACTATTGTAAGCACTCAATTGTCTTACTCAGTCTCCATGACCAGCCAAGAACTATGAACTATTACTACACCTTCTTATGGGTGGACTCAGAGATTAATGACTTGGCCACAGACACACCACTACTCAGTGGTAAAACTAGAAATTAGGCCCAGGCATTCTTTTTCTGGAAGCCAGTTAATCATGCAATGCTGATGTTGGAAACTAAAGTGGTTTTGCTTGTAGCCCGAGTTAAAATATGTTGTCTTTACTCCGAGAAAATAGAAACTACAATGAGGTCTCAAGCAAGTAGTCCCACCATCAGATTATACTCCTGCTCAACATGTACAGATCAGGAGCAGTTGGCAAAGACACCTCCACTCCCACGAGGGGATACATAGTAGTTAGAGAACAGTCCGTGAAACAAGGAAACAATTGAAATTTGCTACCTGATATTTCAGGGAAATTTTAGGAATGATATAATAGGCATAATAGAAGCACTGCTGTTGAGGCTGATCAAGGAAATTTGCTTGATGGATGTGCTGTCATAAAATTGTCCTACCCCAGGGACTCATGTTGTTGGTCTAGATTCTTATAAAGCCTAGATGCAAACTTGCACATCCTATATGCTCTGGGGTGACACACCAGAGAGTTCTGGAAGCTATGGAAAGTGTGGGCTTATGTACACATGCAGCCTTCTTCAAATCCAGGGATATTCGTAAATTGCCAAGAGCCTTGGGCTCATCTAGAAATCATTGTCATTGCTACCATTAACAATGAGTACTGTTTTAGAGTCTGGGATTCATAGGTATTCATATGAGAGGCACCAACTAGAGAGGCACATGTGCACTTTTAGCAGATACTCTGGAATATGCTATATCCAAGTTCACATTTATGGAGTATTTATCGCAATCCAAGCAGTATTTCATATAATCCTCAGAACAGCCCCGCCAAGGAAAGTAGGTCCCTCATCATTACAGATAGGGAAATGAAGACCAAGAAGGTCTAAGTAATATGCCCAAAGTCTCAAGGTGGGGTTGGAAGAAGGTTCTGAGTTTATACAAAGTCTGCTTGGCTCCCAAGCAGCTAGGTTCTTTGCTGCTTTCTATAAAAACCTGTCCATAGAGTTTATATCTCGTACCCATGATGCACTGGCCAGAGGATAGAAATGATCCCTATTTTTTTTTCCTTTTATAGCTACAGACATAAAAGTCTGGTTGTCAGTCAGTTGCTAAAATTCAGATGTTGGTTGAAGAAGCAACACAGTCTTTGAGCCCTTCCCTTTCCTGCTAAAATAAAGAAATAACGATGCAGTTGCAAAGATTCTGTTTATCCGAATCCACTTCTGAAGTCTGCAAGGCATTCAGCCGCCACGGTGGCAGGCAGGCACAGCCAATTGAGGCTGATTTCTTTTGTTCCACAGCTGCAGAACCAGGAGCTGCTGAGGGCCATGATGAAGAAGGCTGAGCTGGAAATCAGTAGCAAAGTTGTGGAAACAATGAAGAGGCTGGAGGATCCGGTGCAGCGACAGCGCACCCTAGTGGAGCAAGAGAGACAAAAATACCTCCACGAAGAGGAGAGGATTGTCAAGAAGTTATGGTGAGTTGTCAAGAAGTCACTGGTCCCATGTCTAGCTGTTGAACCTGGAAAGGAAAAAGTGTCTTTACTCAAAAGGAGGATTTTCTTAATTGGTGTTTTCTCCCTCTGTCTTTATTAAGCCCCTACTGTGTACAAGTGAGTGTTCCATTGGTCCTGGTATCTGTGAACACAGGTACCCCTCCATGGAGGCCTGGGAAATTCAGCAACCCCCAGATGACTGAGCTAGTCTTTTTACAAGTTGGAGCATTACATTTTTTTCTCTAGGGTACAGCAACACATAAAATTAAAAGCAGCAAATGTCAAAACCCAATGATAAATGGAAAGTCTGTATTTAATCTCAATAAATTAAAACTAATAAGCAAAATAACACAGCACTAAAATTATCCTCCTATTATTCAACCATAGATGAAATTGCTGAAGAAGAATTTCAATGTAAAGTGTGTCTGATCCAGAATGAAAGATGCTTCCTTGGATGTTACCAATCTTATATAAGGTCCTTATTGAAAGCATCTATCAAATCCCACCATTGAAATGAGCAGAGTTTTATTACTCCCCATCAGGAGGCAGACCCATCTTTTATGTTAATGTATATTTTGGTATGCAACAAAGATTTGTTATAGAATTATTTCACCTTTAAGTGTAATGAATAGTCATTTTTCTAGGTTCCTCTGGTGTTGGTAGTTTTCTTTTGCTTAGAAATATTAAGTCTCTCAAGTTGGGATTTATAAGAGGGCAATTTGCAGATTCTTCCTATGACCAACCTAACCAGAATTCTCTATGATGGAAAGTGTTATATACTATCACCTATTTCATATTTGAGCTGTAGCTTATATTATCCCAATACCAATCCCATGTGTTTGATTAAAATGAGAATGTCCCTCTCAACAGTCTAGAGAGAAAAAAATCAATGTGAGTTATTATTTTCCAAATAAAAGTAGACCACTCTTCATTGACATCTCAAAAAAACTTCTAAAATTTTACTTAGTTCATACATTTGTGGACAGAGTTGATCACCCACCATGAGGTAATAAGGCTATTATTTATCTAAAATGATTTTGTGACAGCCAGATTATTTAATACTAGGTCTCAAGACTTATCTGTAAATATATATACTTATATATACATACATTTAATATTTGTATAAATTTTCAAGAATATTATGAAAAAAAGAAAATGTCCTTAAAATTTTTTGTATATTGGTTAACTAACTCTTGTTTCTGGCCTTTAACAAGCATCTTTATCTCAATAATATCCTAAGACTAGTAGCTTAGCTGATAAAGGAACAAATATGTTGTACCATATTTTACTGCATAATTGTCACAGATCTGATACCAAACTTTTTTTGCATAAAACTGAGATGCGACCTTTATGAGAGGCTTTTTAAAAATTGTGTCACTATTACTCAAAAATCATTTATTACTAAACTGTCTTTGGTGCAAGATTCAGATGCACAGAATACTCGTGAATCTATGTTAAGACAGTTGCAACAATTATGCCATGAAATACGTGAGAGGATTTTTTTCTGGTTGGTGTTATGGGATGGCCATAAATGAATAAAGTATGCACAGGGCCCTTGGGGATCTTCAGTGTAGCAAAGCAGAATGTATAAATAGGAGTTTAGTGCAGAACTGGTGATATGCAGGTTGTGGGTGAACCTACTGCTTGTGAGCCCAGGGATCAGGAGACTTAACCTGAAGTAGTTATTCTTTATATGTCCCACAGGCCAAGCACTGCCCTATACACATGGTAATGTCAAAAGTGGTTTGTTAAACTGAACTGAGATGGGCTTAAAGGCAGGTGAATTTCATCAGCAGAGGCTAGATACCTTTCTGGCAGAGGAACCCTATGGACCACAGAGTCTCTGGACCAGGAAAGTACAGGATATCCTTAGAGAATTGGGGGTAGTCCAGTTTGGCAGGAGAATTGAATGCAAGATACTACTTCCAAAGTCTTCTGTTTAGGTTGTGCCATTCATTTCTAGATCTTATACTACACTCCACGTGAATATCCGCCTGATGCCTGTCTGGGCTGTGCCTACCAAAATTGGAAGATCATGCTAACAGAAACCTGAATTTCTGGGTTTTGTTTTTATTATTGGTTTTGTTTTGTTTTGATTTGACTTGATTTGGTTTGGTTTGGTACCAGGGATTGAACCCAGGAGCACTTAACCACTAAACCACATCACCAGCCCCTTTTATATTTTTTTATTTAGAGACAGGGGCTCAATAAGCTGCCTTGGGTCTCGCTAAGTTGCTGAGGCTGGCTTTGAACTTGCAATCTTTCTGCCTCAGCCTCGTGAGCCACAGGTGCAGGAGCCACCACTGCACCAGGCTGAATATCTGGTTTTTATACAAGTTTCCAGGTCCAACCCCAACTGAGAATTTCTCTCAATGAAACTTAAGCTACATAGATGATTCCAAAGTACCTGCACATGATGAGGAATGATTTTTGATCAAGGAAATAGCAAAACTCGACCTGTATTCTGTAAAGTTCCCTCTGGTGGTCCTGTGCCAGGCTGATTGCAGAAGATTAGTAATTGACCACACTAGAAGCAAGTGTAACAATCTAGGGAAAGAGGCAATGAAGCCTGAACCAAACAACAGAAAAAGGAATAGGAAAAGAAATCAAAGACAAAATACACTAAAGTACAATTGCCTAAAACTAGGTCTGGGGCTGGGGCTAGGGTTCAGCGGTAGTGCATTTGCCTGGCATGTATGAGGAACTGGGTTCAAGTCTCAGCACCGCATATAAGTAAATAAAATAAAGGTCTATCAAGAACTAAAAATATATATTTTTAAAAAAACTAGGTCTGGATTCTTCTCAAAGATGTCATATATATATATATATATATATATATATATATATATATATATATATCCTTGTAATATTTTTGTAACTTTTCCTTTACCTCTTATAATGTATAAAGCGGGTTAACTGGATGTGTGCGCATAGTGAGAGCACAGGTTATAAAAGATAGTCATAAATTCCCAACTCTGGGACATGAGGGAACAGAGACCTCTCTCTTTCTCCTCCTCTTGTTCTTCCTTTTCCTTCCAAGTACTGGGACATAAATTCCCAACTCTGGGACATGAGGGAACAGAGACATCTCTCTTTCTCCTCCTCTTGTACTTCCTTTTCCTTCCAAGCACAAGTTCCCTTGGAGAGCCCGTGAAGCCAGGTACTAGCAGGCAAGTCAGACAGCAGAGAGGTGAATTTGAGTCTAAAAGGATAGATAGATATTGGGTCATGATCATTTCTCTTTCATGGTTTTCTACCTGGAAATAATAGTTGGGCTTATAATAACGGATGAAATCTATTTTAACAAACTCTATGCTTTTTAACAAAAGTAGCATGAAAAGCAACTTAGTATTTCAAAAGTCACACTGATTGTTAGGTTAAAAGATGTTCCACATTCATTTTTAGCTCCGGTGTCTCTTTTACAATTTTTCAATTCACAAATGTAATATTTAATGCTTTGTCTAAATAGGTATCATGAACATTAGAATAGAAGGGACACTTGTGTACCATAGTATCAGTTTGCACAACAAAGAAAATCTATGAGTTATGAGGGTTAGAAAATCCAAGAGTCACATTGTGTAGAAAAGATCAAAATGGAATTCAGGTAGAGTGACTGTGGGTCCTGTTTGGTCATATAGAAAATAACCTTTCCAAAGATACCATATGTAGTGCTTCATGAGGGACGGCACACAGTCTCTCCTCCTCAGGGATACAGTAAATGTAGGAAGCATCTTTGGGTCTGTTCTCCTAATACTAAGCACCTTTCCATTGTTCACAAATGTGGACAGTGAGCAAGCAGGACTTTCCCTTTGGGTCCAGAAGGGCATTATTTCATCAGAAATGTTCACAAGCAATTTCTACAACAGAATGAATGATATCACTACATTCTCCATCCACTGGTCAGAAGTGGATGAATTTGTCATTTGCCTTATGGTCCTTGTTGGATATACAGCGTATCCCTGCCTGAATTTCTTCCACAGCTGCCAAGGCGCCTTCCGCTTGCCTACCCGATGGAAAGGGGCTTTGTGATCCATCATTTTGCTGATAACTCTGCCTTCTTTTATCTCTAGCCAGCTCCCTGTTCCATACTCTGTTCCAGGAAGCAGAATCACTGTTCACTTACTGCCACCTAGTGGTCCTGCAACGTTCCTTCCCCTGTTAATCTTTGAGTGTGAGTGTGTGCCCACGCACACATGCGTATTTATTATACAGAATGGTGGGTTTCACTGTGGCATATATGCTTATATGGTTTGGTCAAATACATCCCCCATTACCTCTCCTTACCCTCCCTTCCATCCTCCTCCCAATCCCTTTTCTCTATACTAGTAGGTTTCCTTGTACATTCATGACAAAATTTTCTCTGGTTGCATTCCCAGGCAACTGAAATGATACCAACAGGTGTTTAGGGGAGCGCTGGTAATGTGCCCAGAGGCAGGCTGTTGTTTTCTTGTTGTTTCAAGTGGAAAAGCTTAACTTAGCTCTATTGGAGCTGACATCTCTACACCCAAACACACACACACACACACACACACACACACACACACACACACCAGAAACCAGATTGGTAAACATATCTTCTGTTTTTAGCTTGAATAGGAAAGAGTCAATCCTCAGTCAGGGACAGTTTTGTTCCTCCTCCCCTAGGGACATTTGACAATGTCTAGACATTCTTATTTATCACTAGTTACAGGGGGGGGAAGGTGCCAGGGTGCTACTTGCATTTCAAAAGTGAAGGCTGGGGGCTACTAAACATCATAGTGTGCATAGGTTAGTTCCTGACCAAAAAAAAGGAATTATTTGGCCCAAGATGCCAAACAGTGAAGTTGAGAAACCTGATGTAAACCAGTCCATACTTCTCATTTCACTCCACTAAGTGCTTCTGTGTGCACACACTGACCCATCCCACCCCACCATGAAGTGTACTCATCCCTCCCTTAGCTGGTATCAGCACCACTGCGAATAAAGAACGGTCTTTCACCAGGCACGATCTTCTGGCCAGTGGGGGCCTCCCCATGAACAGACCCTGGGAAAACCTCCTTGGACCTGCCTTACACCTCAGGGAATATTCCAAGCCAAACCCAGCTACTGTTCTAATGTGCTCTCGGCATCTAAGTGAAAGGCTTAGGAGGGTTGGACACTGTGAAATTGGAGACTAGGCGAGCACTCCGCCTTTGTACCCATCCTTCCTGAGGACCTCACTGTTGAGCTGTCTGCTGTCTGCTTCCCCCACAGTGAGCTGGAAGACTTTGTTGAAGACTTGAAGAAGGACTCTTCGTCCGCTGGCCGAGTGGTTACTCTCAAGGATGTGGAAGATGGGGCTTTCCTCCTAAGACAAGTGGGAGAAGCAGTAGCCACCCTGAAAGGTGAGCATTCCACCAGAGGGGAGAAGTCTGAAGTGTGTTTCCTGAGATGCTTAAAGATCTGTCAAATAGGTGTCAAGTTTGTTGATGTGTACCTGTGATCCCAGCTACTGTGGAGGCTGAGGCAGGAGGATGGCTGAAGCCCAGGGGTTCAAGACCAGCCTGGTTAGTGTAATGAGACTCCCTTTAAAATAAGTAAATATAGATAGACAGACAGATAGATAGATAGATAGATATAATTTATATGTATTACATTTATATATATGCATACATGTGTGTGTGTATATATATATATATATATATATATATATATATATATATATATATATATATTAAATAGTGAAGGATTCATTCATGCAAGCATGCAAGCAATTATTTATAAAATGACTACACATGCCAGACACTGTCCTGGGTACTTGGGATACATCACTGAGCAAAACAGGCAAACATCCTACCTTCTTGAAGTTTATACTTAGTGGGTTCTGTAAGATTCAAGACTAATGATGCTAATAACACTTACTATCAATTTTCCTACTTGCTGGGCCCATACAGTGTGCCCGGACACCTGTGCCAAACTCTTTAAACATAACCCCAAGGTGCAGTTGGCCTTAACCCAAATATACAGGAGACAGGCCTAAAGGAGCTGTGACCTTGCGCAAAGTTACTTGACCTGACATTTTCCTATTCTCTTAACCCTGCCTCACCCTTCCCACAGACGTGTGAATTCCACACTTCTCAGTGCTATCCAGTGTCAGGGTGCAGGATGGGGGTGGTGGTTCTTCCATTCTCTTATAATCACCAGCTGGTCTGGCCTACAGGAGAATTTCCAACCTTACAAAACAAGATGAGAGCCGTCCTGCGCATAGAGGTCGAGGCCGTGCGGTTTCTGAAGGAGGAGCCACATAAGCTGGACAGTCTCCTAAAACGTGTGCGCAGCATGACAGACATCCTGACCATGCTGCGGAGGTAACTGGGAACCCCCGCACCCCCAGACTAGGAAGGCCTGCTGAGGGGGTGGGCCGGGGAGACCGGAGTGCAAGTTGAAGACCCAGGTTCTGCCATCATCCAAGAGCCTGCGTCCAGGGTCATGTCATGACTTATCAAATCTTGTTTCTGGAAACCATGACTCCTTCCACCCCAGGGCTTTCATTGCAATATACCTCAAGGTTCTAATTCTTCAGCATAGACTTGCAGCATTGGACCCATTCTATGACTTAAAATGAATAGACATGGGCTTGGGGTGCAGCTTAGTGGTAGAGCGCGTTTATGGCATGTATGAGGTCCTGGGTTCCATCCCCAGCACCACAAGAAAATAAAATAATAAAATGAGTCAACATTTCTTTAAAAAAATCATTTGAAAGTTGGTTTTCTTCTTTGGCTTGGTTTTGTTTTGTTAGTAACACTTTGAAGTTGAAGACTAAATCAAAGTAGTCTATTAGCCTCCTTCATTCCAGAGGCATAGAAGACTTTGGTTTGGAGAAAGTGAGTAGTAATAAATAAGTCTCTCTTAAATTTCCTACTGAAGGAGTATCTGAGAGTGTGTTGGTGCCATCTAGAAAAGAGAACTAAGACTCCTAAAGTGGCATGAGCCAGTCCCCTACCCAGGGTGAACCTGCTCATCAGGAAGGGTTACTATAGGGAAAGATTAAAGAAATCACTGAATGACCCATGACTTTCATTGTAAAGAAAAATTCAGAACTCCATAACCCACTCAAAGAGTGTTTACAGGCCTAGGAGTGCAACTGAGCAGCAGAGCCCTAGCCTAGCCTGTGCACGGCCCTGAGTTCAATCCCCAGCATGGGGTGGGGAGATGCCGACATATAAGCATGAAGGATTCGGAAGCACCCTGGTAAATAACATCCTGTATGCTCTGTCTTTGAGTTACAATTGGATCTCTCTCTTCTCAACCTAATAATAAGGATAACTTGGACCTCCCAGCGCTTTCTATGTATCCAACATTGCACTTTCTATGTATCAGATGCAGGACAGAACCCTTGATGCGTATTACCTCATCCACTCCAGGCACTGTTATTTCATTATTTATAGGTAGAATCTGAGGCTTGGGGACATTCACTGCTAGCGAGAGGTGGGGCTGGGTTGTGAACAGATCTTTTGACTCCAGAGTAGCTGTCAGTTCTTACCTTACAGCCAGGGATGCAGTAAAGTTCAGTAACATTCTCTGTGCCCAGCCTTGGTGCTGGGTATATAGAGACAGTAATAAACAAGACAAGTGGGACCCTATCCTTATAAAAATTACTCTCTCCCATGAGGAATAGATACTAAACAACAACCAAAAATAAGCCACAGCCCTACAGTGGCAGTCCCTGAAGTGTTAGGGTTTTTTTTAATAAGATCAAAAAGTTCCCCTTCTGGACCAGATTTGAGAGTAGGTCCCAGACAGAAGTAACATGTAGGAAACTTTCTTGTAGGGATTTTAATCACTGACTATAATTATTTGATCAGATTTAGAAGAAAAGTATCTGAAGTTCACAGTTAACTAAGGCAAATTATTAAGCGTGAGGAGCAGATTAAATTTTTCTAGCAAAGAATAACCTCGGAAAAGCCCCTTTTGAGATAACCCTCTATAGCAAGTGTGTAAGCACCAGGATGCTAAAGGAATCCAGATTAAAATAAAAAATGCTCCCTCCTGTGAAGTCCACATCTGACTGTATACAGGAAGACATTGCATGTGTGTTAAATTTTTTCATAAATGTCACACATTTTAAATCTCCAAAGGAACTTTTTCTTCCAATAGGATAAAAATCTGTTAAACTAATTCTTTATGAAGCTTTAACCCAAATGTGGTAACTCATCCACAAGGCCACAAAAAAAAAAAAAAAGAAAAACAAAGCAACCTTATTAAGCAAAAATAGAGCATGAACTGCCAGGTAACACTGCTCATTCTCCCCTCCCTTCCCTTTCCATCCCTGAAAAGCAGTTAAAGGATGTGTTGAGAGCCAGCACAGAGTGATAGAAGACAGGATTATGGGTTTTGAACATTACATGACATTTTTACTTATAAATACTCAGTGGTGAGAATGGTACGTAAAACAAGTCAAACAACTCAAAATAAAATAAATTTTAGCTTCTATCAGGGTGCCCATCACAAGCCTATTTATAGTTAATTTTGTACTAGCATGTTTGTGCATAACATGATACTCCGCATGGTGGAAGACCGAAGGATGAAGGTGGGAATGTGCATGTTCCTAAGGACATGCAGATGACCCTACACCATGGCAGAGAAGGTGAGGCGGGCGACAAATGGTCACAGTTCAGAGCATACTTAGGAGCTTGGAAAAATGCCCAAGTGGTTTGGCATAAGTGGAATTTGAGATGTTGGAAGAGATTCCTACCAGGCACCCAGAAGAGTGGGTAAGTTCCAGAGACAGAGTTGGAGGGGATCGTGGCCTGGTTCAGAGCAAGAGAGGGAGAAAGGAGGGGGACAGCAGAGGAGAGGGAGGAAGAGACAAAGGGAGGATCTAAGTTAAAGTCACCTTCATGGAGATGGTTACTGAAAATGGAAATAGTAGCCAAGTAAATTGGTAGAGATAGGAGAGAATAAATCTTGGGAAATCCCTGGGGAGTTAAAAGCCTGGGGTTGGTAAAGTCAAAAGTAAAGAAAGTAGTAAGTAACAGAGGAGAGTCACAAAATACAGTGTCTTTTTCTTTTTCTTTTCAAATCAGAAAAGAGAGAAGAGAGTACTTTAATAAGAAGGGATTGTAGGACTCTTAAGTTAGGGGTCAAGTTACAGGCGTGACATCATCTTATATCGTAACTTCACAACATTAGTTCTAACAATCCCCAAGGAAAGCATTGCGACCATTGTCATTGTCACCATCCTTACATTTTACAGGAAAGTTTCTGAGGCTCAAAAAGGTGATGATCCCAGTGTTATATAACTAGAACATGGTAGAACTGACACTCAAACATAGGCGCATCTGTCAGCAAAGGTCCTGCCTTTTCCTCTGAAGCCTGGGTACAGATGGACACAGCAATGAATGACTCCCCAAAGCAGAGGAGGATGAGGACCAAGCACAATATTGCACTAGAGTCATCCATGACCTTGCAGAAAGATTTGGCTGGGTCCAGGTGGGGATGTCAGAGAACAACAGAAGGAATTAGAAGGCAGGTTACCTTTTGACATGTCTGCCAATGGACGGAGGGTAGCTGGAGGCTTCAGAAAGGTCTGCACAGGCCAGGATCAGGTGGTGGAGTCAGAGTGTTGTTAGAATCCTGTTGTTCGTGTCATGTCACCACCATCCGAACAGTGACAGGCTGGCATCAGTCTGAGCACAACAGTGCTAGTGAAAAAGCAAATGAGATCATCTCCTGGGAAAGTCCTGGAGAAGCAGCCCTAGATAACTAGGAGCCATCAGGAGCTTTAGGGAGTTGCTATGGAAACCCTCACCCCCCAGCAGCTACTCTGAGTCTTGCATGTTTTGATCTCACCCAACTCTGGGATGCATGGCCTTCGAGTACACCACAGTGACAAGATGGAAGTGACCTATTTTAGCAGATAATTCTACTGTGCATGGTTTCTCCTAGACATGTCACCGATGGGCTCCTGAAGGGCACCGATGCAGCCCAAGCCGCACAGTATGTTGCTATGGAAAAGGCCACAGCCGCCGAAGTCTTGAAGAACCAGGAGGAAGCAGCCCATGGCCCCAGCCAGCCCTTCCATGGCACGGGAGTCCCTGGCGATGTGAAGTCGGAAGTGGTGCCTTTGTCCGGCATGACCGTTCACCACGCGCAGAGCTCTCCTGTGGTCATCCAGCCCTCCCAGCACTCCCTGGCCCTGCTGAACCCTGCCCAGAACTTGCCTGTCGGGACTGGTACCCACACAGCCAACCCTCCTGCAGTCACACAGGAAGTAACCTCTGCACTGCAGTCAGCTCCAGCCCCACAGTCCCCTCAGACACCCACGAATGGTTCCACCATGCAGAGCTTGTTCATTGAGGAAATCCACAGTGTGAGTGCCAAGAACAGGGCAGTGTCCATTGAGGTAGAGTCTTGTTTCCATTTCTCATCACCCCATTAACAGGTCCTTTCTCTGAATGAATTACATTCTAATTATAGAGAGAGTGTGTGTGTATGAATTCATTTGTGGATCAAAGATATATTTTTACCAAAGATAGATTTTTTTTTTCTTCAATTGGGGATAGGATTCCATAGCCAAGTTAAGGGAAAGGTCATAAGATTTGAGAAAGATGGCACCTAACCTTTAGCTGGAATATAAGTCAGTGGTGTGCTGGTAAATATTTAACAACCAGCTCTCTGGAAGAAAGCTCTGATTTGTGGCATTTGCCAATTTCCGTGGTGTACATTCTCCCACCGTGGCAAAATCAAGCTACTGTATAACATCACTGAGCAGGAAATTAGGGACAGAGGTGACCATCAGTTTCCTGAGCCAGTGGGTGCTGGCTTGAGTTTCCCCTGTGCTAAAGGCAGCCTGCGGAGAGTTACTACTGATCCTGAAAGACAGAGGATTCATGATAAGCAGAGGAGGGGGTTGTGGCACTTTGGGATGGAGGGATGCTGGAGCAGAGGCTGAGTTCATAGTAAGCCTGTTTAACTGGAACCAAGGACATAAAGATGGGGAAATAGATGAAACCAGTTTGAGAAATGTGTGGAGTTTATTTTGAAGGTGTCAGAGAAATAATACTACAGATCTGACCCGTGATTTTTTTAAAAATAGCACCTTTAAGAAATTAATCTGGAGACACTATAGAGGATGGATTGTGGTAGTAGGTCTAGAATTAAGGAAGCTGAATGGCAAATTATAGTACTCTAAGAATGAAAAGCAAAGGCAGTCAAAATAGAAAGAGAAAGTGATCTTAAGTGAGGGGGCTGGGATCGTGGCTCAGTGGTAGAATGCTTACCTAGCATGTGTGAGGCACTGGGTCTCACATAAAAATAAACAAATAAAATAGTGGTATTGTGTCCATCTACAACTAAAAAATACATATATAAAAAAAAAGATCAAGTGAGGGCTGGAAGTGTATTTCAGTGGTTGAGCACTTGCTTAGCATATGTGAGGACCTGGGTTCCATCCCAAACACCTCAAAAAAATTAAAGAAAAACCCAACATGTAGAAAAACACACTGTTTTTAAATATTCTTTTTTAAACCCTGTATTTTGCTCCCATAGCTCTTTTTCCTCTTACCTCATATCCTTTCCTTTGTATCCTGTAGCTCAGTGCTCTGTCCCCAGCAACCCAGTCCTAATCCTTCCTGCCTTTCTTGCAAGTCATCAGGGACTAACTCAGGGTGGGTATGTTGAGATGACCTCTTAAAACCAATGTGGCCACAGTCATGACCAGAAATTTAGTAGTGAAAAATATACCTTTGACAGCATTATCCGTGTAGCTTCTCTGTGTTCCAGAATTAAAAGCTGTGCCCCTAATCCAAGTCAGCAATATTTAAAAATTTCTTATTGCCAGGTGCAGTGACACACACCTGTAATCCCAGGTACTTGAGAGGCTGAGGCAAGAGGATTGCAAGTTCAAGGACAGCCTTGGCAACTTAATGAGATCCTGTCTCAAAATAAAAAATAAAAAGCCCTAGGGATGTAGCTTAGTAGTTGAGTACCTCTAGGTTCAATCCCCAGAATTGCAAAAATTAATTAATCAATATTGCTTCTTATAGGATTTTCTGGGCTTTGATTCTGTCCTTAATGCCTGATAGAGAAGCTGGGGAATATGCCCTTTCCTCCTGAGAATTTATAATCTGCCTCTTAAGACATCTCATCACTTTATCTCAATACTTAAAGGGTGTCAGTCTGATGACACTTTTATTTCACAAATATCCATTAAGAATATGGATATTGCTAGGTGGGGTGGCATACACCTCTAATCCCAGAAGTTCAGGAGGCTGAAGCAGGAGGATCACATGTTCAAAGCCAGCCTCAGCTCTAAGCAACTTATGGAGACCCTGTCTCAAAACATAAAAAAAAAAAAAAAGGACTGGGGATGTGACTTAGTTGGTTAAGTGCCCCTGGGTTCAATCCCTGGTACCCTTCCCCCACCAAAAAAATTTCTAAAAGAATATGGATATTTAAGAACTTAGCATAATAATCATTGTGATTTGTATATTTTGTTTTGAGAAGAGAATAAATCATCTCCTAAAAATGCCCTGATCCACAAAAAGGGAGACCTGGGTCTTTCTGTCAGTTTAGCCCCCAACAAGTGGAATGAACCTTATTCATTCAGTAGAGATGCTGAGCCCTACTAGGATCTGGGATAGGCAGTGAACAGAAAGATAAGGTCTGTGTCCTTAAGAACCTTACCTACTTGTAGGGAGACTGAGAACACGTATATGCCATCTGTTAGTAAATGCTAAGAAGAAAAAATAAATGAGAGTACTGATTATATTGAGCAAATTCTTCATCTTACTGGACCCCAAACTCCTACATAAAGTGTGTTGATTCAGTGATCTTTTCCAAATCTTGTATTCTGAGGTTCCACCAGTTCTGGGGCTAATTTCCACTCTGCCTTTCTAGAATGATTAATGAACCATCTGTAATATCACAGGAGAAATGTCCTTTAAAAATATAGGGATTTAAAAATATTTTTAATGTACCTCTGTTATGGAACTTACTGAAGCCAGAAGTCATCCAAAAAAATATCCCCCCACTTAAAAAAAAAAAAACGTGACCAAGAAAGGGTCACATAGCAGTTCTTAGTTCTTAGAAGTGGAACTAAGGATTTTTAAAATCAATTTTATCTTTTATAAACTGACACAAAACATGAAAAGTGTACATATTAACGAAATACTATGTGACATTTCAATACATATATATATATATATATATATATATATATATATATATATATACACACACACACACACACACACACACACACAGTGTATAATCAGGACAGAACAGGATTATTTTGTTCTTAGTGTTGTGGTTTTTATTTGTTTGCTCATCTCCTCTACAATGAAAACTTACTTTAAAAAGCAAAAACTTAATAATGAAAAACGTACCTTTGACAGCTTTATCTGTGTCCCTTTTTATTCTGTATTGGTAGAAGTAAGTCATAAGGGCTCAGTGATCGTTTAAGAAGTGGGTTTGGGTTTCTGAGCTTGCTTCTCTGTGGATGACTGTCACCTGGGCTGAAATGTCAAGCCATGTAGTTCTAGATGATGTGGCAGACAGCAGAAGGGTCAGGTGGCCAGGACTCATCTGATGTGTGCAGTTGTCCCTCCAAGGAAAACCAGGACATTATCTTGTCGACATTTTAACTGAGTTGCATGCCCAACTTCAATGTGAAATCTCCAGACTACATTAGCTTTCCCCTCTGGTTTTTAAACTGTCTTCCTTTGCCATTTCCCTTTAGAAAGCTGAAAGGAAATGGGAAGAGAAAAGGCAAAATCTGGACCATTATAATGGGAAAGAGTTTGAGAAGCTCCTAGAAGAAGCTCAGGCCAACATCATGAAGTCAATTCCAAACCTGGAGATGCCACCAGCCTCGGCCCCATTACCAAAGGGAGATGCCCCAGTGGACAAGCTGGAACTCTCAGGTGAGGCTGATCCCAGCCAGAGGTGCCAGTGTGGGGTGTCTTCAGCTCAGAGGGATGTCACTCCCGTGAGCTTGTGCTGGACAAAACAGGACCAAGGTCTCACTTCTCCAGAATCATATAAAGTGAATCCCCAGGTGTTCCTTAGATCCTTGCTACGACTTTTTACCTCTCACTGTGGCAGGAAGCCATGTTGGGTGTTAGGATGCCAGACAGTGTCCAATAAAGAAAAAGGTAATTTTCCTGCTTCTCTATTTCCTCTGAACATATGACACTTAGAGCAGAAGCTGGGAGAGTCTGAGGCCTGCATTTAAAAGAAGAGCTTTTTGTCCACCACCACCCCCACCAGAAAGAAAATGGTGGCTTTCATGAGTTCCCCAGGGAATATTATGTCAATCATCAGGTGAAATTCTACCTTTGAGAAAATTATTAGAATGTATATTTAACCAACTCAATCATGGAAGCTGAAGCATCAATGTGTCAATACTAACATAAAATACAGTTGTGCACACATAACGTGTGGCCCACAGTGGACCTCATATACCATGGTGGTCCTGTAAGATTGTATCACTGAGTGATGTTGTAGCCATCATGGTTTGTGTAGGTACATCCTGTGATGTTCACATACTGACAGAATCGCCTAAGAACACATTTCTCAGCGTGTCTCCCTATTTTTAAGTGATGCATGAATATAACTTTAAAAACTCAAACTATAGAATCTTTCACTAATTACAAGGCACATCCTTTACTCGGATCTTAAAATTATGTACAGAGATGTTATTTTACTTGCAGCCTAAAGTCTCTGCCATGTCACATTCAACCATACTTCGTCCAACCATTAAAATTAATTTGAAAAGGAATCACCATCTGGACTTGCTTCTCAAGGAACATTAAGTGGATTGGATTGAAAATTCATGGAATATTCCCTACCGCATTTCATTCTCCAAGGCTCCACTCACTGAAACTCCCCCCGCCCAACAGCCTCTGCTCAGAGGCCTCAGTGCCCCTGCCCCACCCCATCCCACATGCCATCTGGATGAGGCCTGTCTGGGGCCCCTGGACAGCCAGGCAACAACTGCTCCGAGAGGGTAGGACCCTGGGAGGGACACTTCTCTCACAAAGATGGCTTGTCTCTCCAAGTCCCCAGGAAGAATTTCTGATAGCTAAAATGACCCACTCATTACGTATTTATCTTGTGGACGTCTGCTCTGCCCCATCATTCATTTTGCCTTACCGTTCTTTGATGTTTTATATAGTTCTCATAATTTTTCCTTCTTGCATTTATACAATAAAAATATAACATCAATTTTATTAACGTGCCTCATTTTCCCTTTTTATTCTCTCAGATTGAAAAGGGTTTTGCATAAATGTTTTAAGTAACTCCCAAGAATATTTTTACTTAGTTAAAATGTTCTATTATTTACTGTTATATTTTTTATTACTGTTGTTGTTTTTAATACTCTGATTCCTTCTCAGAAATAATCCACTAATGTGCAGGCCTCTAGAAATGTGTGACCAGAAATTAATGTTGATTTATAATACTGATTTCTATACTTACTGCCTCCTTTATTTTTTTTTTTAGCAGAAAGAATCTTTTTCAACCACGTAACCATGACCTTAATTTTTAAAAAATAATTCACTTTCTCTCTGGCTTTGTCCTTTGTCCCCACTTGTCTGATCTCCTCTCTGGCCCTCCCTCAGCTAGATCCTACTCTAACATTCCCCACACACCCCTCTTGATATATCTGTCTTTTCACTGAGGGACTGAAGATGTTGGAGGACACATGAGGCATTTTGGAATTACCTTTAGTTCCTCGTTTTTCCAAGTGACAATCAGCTTTTTTGTGTCATTAAAAATTAATTTGATAATGAATACCCATTCAATAGATGAGAAAACTGAGACACAGAGAAGTTAGGTCATTTGTGCAGGGTCTTTCTGAGATTTCAATCCAGTTGATCTTTGGGATCTATATGCTTAATCATTGCTATATGGGAAAGACAAAATTTTTAAGTCAGTATTCTTTAAACTTATAGCAATACACTGGACTTTTTGAACATTATCTTGAAAAAAAAAAATCACAACGGCACATTGTTTTCCAGAAGACTCACCAAATTCAGAACCAGACTTGGACAAGCTGGGGGGAAAGTCACCTCCTCCCCCTCCTCCACCTCCTCGGAGAAGTTACCTGCCCGGATCGGGGCTCACTACCACGAGATCTGGTGATGTGGTCTACACTGGCAGGAAGGAGATCACCACTACCAAGGTCTGACGGGTTGATTCCTAGTAAACTGGTTTTGGGGCACAATGATACCCTTAGACAAGATGCTCTGTGTTCAAACATAAAAGCAGTGATGTGGAGAAGAGAAATAGAACCTCAACTAAACTAAATGCCCAAGGAGTGCCACAGGTGGGAAAACCCAGCTGATGTGACTAGACTAGACTCACATCACAGGTTTTATCCTGACCTGACTTTTCACTACATTGATTTAAGCGTGAATCACAAGCTGTCACAGGCCTGGTGGCACATACCTGTAATCCCAGTGACTTTGGAGGCCAAGGCAGAAGGATCACCAGTTCAGAGCCAACCTCAACAACTTCTCCAGGCCCTAAGCAGCTCAGCGAGACCCTGTCTGTAAATAAATTACAAAAAGGGCTGGGGATGTTGCTCCGTGAGTGGTTGAGCACCTCTGAGTTCAATCCCCGTTACCAAAACAAAAAATAAGTCATAAACTACTTCCCAAACAGGAAGATTGAAAATAGGGGAAGAAGGGGGAGTGAAAGGAAGGTATCTTACAAAGGTATCGGCTTAGCTGACACAGGTGAGGGGTTTATACAGAAAGATGTTAAGTGAGCTATAGCTCCCGCTTAGCTTGGCAAGTTTTGTCACATTAAATGTAAAATACAATTTCCAAGGAAATGGAGGATGGGAGACGGCCTTTCTTAAAAGGCCTGGATGCTGAGTTTTGATTTTATTACAATTCTTCAATCCATTTACCAAAATGACGACTTGTCAAAACGAAAACCCAAACTAGCCTTTCAGCTAAGTGTGAAGATCCAGGAAGCCAAGGGATCAGATGACGAGGGATCCTGTGAATCTGTCATTTTTTTGCTGGTACCTAAGAGGTGTTAAGCCATTATCTGTGGTTTGAATTTCCCACAGGCCAGTGGTGAAGATGTTGGTTCAAGCCCACAGACAAGAGCCACAAAATGTCCAGCAGAAGAGCCTGCTTCAGCCTGGGCCCCATCCCCTCCACCAGTCACTGCATCCTCCTTGAAAGATGAGGAGGAAGAAGAAGAAGAAGGAGACAAAATAATGGCAGAACTCCAGGTATGTGAGTGAAGTGACTGCCATTGACTCTCTACCATCTCATCCAAGACTCTCTAGACACGGCTTTCATAGATTTGTTAGCTAGAGAAGGCTGGGGAAGGGCCCCTGGAGCTAGGACGCATAAGCTTCATCCTCTAGCCTTGGCCTCCACTTTTCCAAGATGGCATCATACCAGGCTCTTGGGGTGCCTGTAAGACATGTGAGGAATCTCACAAGTGATGTTGAGCATCTTTGTCAAGAATCTGTTTGCTATGTAATTATCTTCTATGGAGAAATGACTATTCAAGTAATTTTCCCATTTTAATAGGGTTATTTATTTTATTATAATTGAATCATTTCAGTTGCTTATTATATATTTTGCATATCAGCCCCACATTTGATACATAACTTGCAAATGTTTTCTACCAATCCATAAAATTTTATCTTACCCTATTAATTGTTTCCTTTGTTGTGAGAAAGCTCTTTACTAAAATCTCATTAGTATATTTTTGCTTTTGTTACTTGGGTTTTAGGATCTTAGAAAATAAATGTATGCCCAAACCAAAAAAAAAAAGAAAAATCATTTGTACTCCTCCCTAGCACTGGCCATAGGATTTTCTTTCTTTTCCTTCTGTCTTAATAGTCTTTGCTTCATCCCAAAAGCAATTAAGATGGTGATTAGTAACACCAGCCATTGTCTTGCCTTGATAAGGACTGACTGAAGCACACTTTAGGTGGATCCTGTTCTTTGGTTCTAACCTTTAGAGTGACCAGTTTTGAGTCATGCCAACGAATGACCACCTGTAGTTCATACCAGTTTCCTGTTCTACGTGAATATCATCTTGTCAGATATTCTGAAGAGCTGAAAAAAATGTGCTCTGCTTTTGCTTTGGCCTGTTTGAGAAATGATATTTTATTAGCTTTACATGCTTATTACTTTTTCACTCATAGGATTAAGGATGGGATACAGGAACTATACCCAAAACTGATATCTCACATTCTATTCATAGATAAGAATCTTCCCTAAGAGTGTGTTCTAAAAACTTGTCTAATTGGAGACACATACACAATTCCCAGACTAAACTCTGAATTTTGTTGGACTCCTGAGTATTATAGGATATTTCCATCTATCAGATAGTCACACCTCTTGGGGCTCCAGAACATGTCATTTCCCCCCCCTGCACCAGTGGGGCTGTGCAGGCCCATGGATTCTCCTTCTTCGTTTGGAGTAGGGAGTCTTTCAAATCATGTCGTTTTCACTACTAGTTTCCATGGTAATAACTGCCGGAATTGAGCTGCTGGATTTTATAGGGAAAATCGGATTCTCAATTGTTCTGTCATGTGCGTAAACCCTTTTGAGCCTTAGTAAAACTCAGACTGGCCTGGGACATCCCTTCACCAAATAAGACTGTTTTCAGGGTTTTAGAATGATTGGAGCATATAGATTTGTAAAGTGAATAACTTGTAGATTTGTGAATAATCCAGGTTTAAGCCATTTAAGAGAAGTCATACATTTATTGTAGTCACTTCCAACCTGCCACTTGGGAATGCCTCCCTCCACTGAATCTTAATCTTTGATGCCCTCTTTGATGACCACTTTTCATTACATGGAGTATCTGGCCTCTGGCCCCATGGTGGATAGTCATTTAACTGTGATTAATGACGTGCTGTGACCCTAACTCAGCCAAGCCCTGTTGGCTCTCCTGCTGGGACAAAGAACCAACCTTCTAGGCCAGTGGCCAAGGGCCTTGATGGTTTCTTTGCCTCTTTCTCTAGAATTAGATCCTGGGCAGGATGAGGAGACTCTGCAGCCCCCTCTAAGAGCATCACCAGGCATCAGAAGAAAACATAGGCTCTGAAATCCAGCCCAACAGAGATGGCGAGTAGATTCAGTAAGCAAGGCTATGGGCAGGCATTTAAGCCAGGGATTCTCAGGCGAGCCAGGACTGGCTTTCTGTGAGGTAGCAGGGAAAGCAGGGGGGCAAGAAGAGAGAGACAAGCAGAGCCATGGGAGAAAGTGCAGAGGAGGCTCTCACCATCAGCTATATTTGGACTTTAGGACCAGTTCTGGAATGTTAGTATAGAGAAGACACCAGTTCTCCTTTCTGCCTGCCAACTTATTTCCAAACGGCTGTATTTGACATAAAGAAAATACTAGACAATTATTTGAGATGATGCATTTATATAAGGGGTTTATTTGTTTGTTTGTGGAGGTTTTTGTTTGTTTGTTTTTGACAGGGCTAGGGGTCAAACCCAGGGCTTCATGCATGTTAGACAAGTACTCTAGCACTGAACTACACCCCCAACCCTACATAAGTGATTTTCAATCCTCACTGTACTTTAGAATTATTTGGGGGATTGGAAAAGGCCCAGATATTTTGATTTATTTGTTCTCTGGAAGAAGCCTTGGTGATGGTCCTTTTCCCCAAAACTAACTGGTTGAAAATTCATGAACTTGGGTTCCTGAGTCCTCAACTCTCTTGCTGTCATGGTCAAAGTGTCAGGAATCTCTGGGGATGTCCACTTCCTTCTCAGCCCTCTAGTCACAGTCATTACTTTATTTCTTTGCCAGGGAACTGGCCTCCCTGAGTCAGTGTCCACATAGCCAGCCTCTGGCTCCCAGGGTGGCAATGGTTAGTTTTCAGAGGCAGATCTCCAGGGCTCAGGCAGCTCCCTGGCCATGTGGAAATGCATGTGTGGGTGCTGAGGAGGGTCACTTCATTGTAAATGAGCCTCAGAGCAGGGTAGGACCTGTTAACTATTTCAGAGAATGGATTAGTAAAAATTACTTTTAAGGTTTAAAATGTCCTGTGAGCTTCTTCCTATAATACAATAAAATTGTTTTTTTTTTTTTAAAAAAAAAGGAATAAAGGAAAAGATCTTTTTGTTTTAATTCACTTACATTCAATATCTTGCAAAGGTCAGAGCAAGAAACCCTACGAAGTGCAAATCAGGTTCACCCATACAAAAGAAAGGGTGTTCCTCTCCTTTTTTTTTCTTTTTGGTCCTGGGGTTTGAATCCAGGGTCTCATGCCTGTCAAGTATGTGCTCAGTCATAAGATACACTCCCAGCCCCAGGGTGTTCCTCTTAAGGGCTCTGCCCATTTTATCTTGGTGAGGATGTCCCAGACGTTCACCCCTAAGCCAACTGTTCTGCTGACTTGAGGGCCCGTGGAGAGCAGGATTTCAGGGTGCTGCTTCCCTGCTGCGACTGCAGGCAGGACCCCAGTGCTGGGATTCCTGAGCTTCTGGATTCCTGCCTGTTTCCTTCTTCTCTGCCTGGTATACTTGGACCCCTGTTAACCTCACTATTTTAATTCCTTAGGCATTCCAGAAGTGTTCCTTTATGGAAGTAAATTCAAACAGTCATGCTGAGCAGTCCCGGGTTGACAGTCACGCTAAAGACACTAGGCCAGGCGCCACAGTGCCACCCAAGGAGAAGAAGGTAACAACGTGGCAATTATGCATTTGCCACATGGTCAAACAGCCCTTTCTTCCTTGCTCTGACACTAACACGGCTCTCTTGCACTTGACCTTCTTGCCCTCTGTCTCCTTCTCTCTGCCTTTTTTTTTTTTTTTTAACTAATAGAGACACAGGTTTAGGTTGAGATCAGAGATACCTGGCTCAGGTTTCCAGAGTAAACATCATGTGTCTATGCCCAGCATATAATAGTATATGCAAAAGCTAGGCAATATCTTTCCAAACTGAAGACTATTAGATTTTCTAGAACAACTCTAGAAAGGAGAAAAAATAGCAACCAAATATATAGAAGTTTTCCAAGTTTTAACATGTCTTCTGGACCAAAAAAAAAAAAAAAAAAGACAGAAAGAAACTATATTAAAAATAGGTGAAAGCCTTAGACTCAGAGAAGATCTGCATAACAGAAAATACCTCAGTCACATATGTATAAATATGGAATCATAGAACCTATGAGTATTTACACAAATGTCCAAGAATGCCCAACAGAATCTTTGTGAAGTATTACCAGTTTTTAAAGTGGGTCTTCTAAGATACACTTATGAGATAATTTTAGCACTGAACTATATTTGTAGCTTCTAAAAGATTGTCCAAGCTTAAAAACAAAGCAGCTGTCAATGCATACATACTTTAGAGAAAGGATATTAACCTGGACTTTGGAGCTGAGACTTTAAATTGGATCTAGAGCACTTATGATTTGGGGGTTTCAAGCCATCTTATTTTAATGAAGACTCTTGTCTAAATATCAGGATAAAAAGCTTAACCAACTCAAGTCCTAACAGTTCTCACCAGGAACTTATATATCAGAATTCAGGGACTCAAAGTTTCCCTTAAATAAAGTCAAACTAATCAGGTGCAAGATAGCACCACAACTTCTCCAACTGGGATCCTTGGTCCATATCTAAGTGAGGGAGATGGCACATCACAGTGTCTGAGGGCTGGTCTGACAAAGCCTTCAGGAAATCTGCTCCTCTCTGGCTCACAGCCAGCATAGAGCCCTTGGGTGAACCACATCTGCTGCATAAGGGACATATAAAATTGCTACCAGGGGAAGGAGAATCCTCTCCACCAGGGGGAGATCACAAGAATATTGATAGATTCTCATGAAGAAACCCTCCTCCTAATTTGAACTCAGAGTCACATCAGAAATATATTGCTTTTTCATGTGAAATTTTCTCATGTGGAATTTTCTTATGTGACCTTATTAAAACTAACTCATGGGTGGCCCTGGCATGACCTAGCGTGGCATATTTGGGACAATGCAACCATTTCTGTCTAAAACACTGACTGGGAACTTGGAACTTCTCAAGGATCCCTTCTGAAAGAGGCAATCATTGATTTATTAACTTGAACTTTTCAGTTTGGCTAGAATGTTGCATGAGATTTCTTGTTTTCCATAATTAAAAATCCATATCCCATTCATTTATCACAACCAAGGATCTTTTGGAAAACCAGCAGGTCTATCTTGAGTGTCCAGCACTGGGTTTAATTGCAGGTACTTTTTCTGGATCATTCTACTCAGATATAGATTTACTTCATGATAACCATAAGTTTCAAATTTATCTCCCAGTTTTGTCATTATTAACCTCTACCTGGACTGTTCACCTGTCCCATAAATGAAATGTTTTCCTCTTATTATCATGAAGCTCTAGCCTAATACTTTGCTTTTATGCAATTTTCTTGTAACTATGTCTCTAATTTTGGTTTATTGTCCATTTGCATACTGAGTATGGTTCTCCAGTTATGTAAGCAATCTAACCCTTGGGGCCTAGAAACATATTAGAGTCTTGACCTTCTAAGACTAAAAAAATCAGCTTCCATTTACATGACACTTTTGACCCAGTGTCACACTTGCTTTGATACATTTATTCCTTTTTCTAGATCATGATGAAAATGATAGTTCACTTGAAATGTATCCTCAAAACCTTTTTTTAAATATGTTTTTAGTTGTTGATGGTTTTTTTTTTTTTTTTGATATACAGTGATGAGAATTGAACTAGGCAAGCACTCTACCACTGAGCCACGACCCCAGGCCTCCTCAACACCTTTAACATGATGACTTTCCACCTGGTTATTTCTGCTAATAAATCAACATCAAAATACATGTTCTGCAGGGTGACATTGGAAATATTTAACATGGGTGTGGCATGGACCCCTGAACAATCAGGACAGATACCCCAATAAATGGGAGCAGGAAGACACCCCAGTCTGGCATATGTCTTCCTAATATTACATGCCAATCCCTTCTTTGATTCAGAGAGTAAATTCTCACTCAGGTCCTAGCATAATACGCTAACTCCATATTTGGAGTTGAACCTTAGGCCAGAACTTTATTTTTTTAAAAAAGCCATGCACTTGACATGTTAGTTGTTTTATAATCTGAACATTTTAAATCCCATAAGAGAAACTGTATGGTTCAAATTGCAGCACTGCCCTTCTGAGGGGGGGACTTCAACATGAGGACATACAGAAGTTAAAACAGGAGGTGTTGGGTGGCTAAATGTGCCTTGGGGATATTTCTGTGTGTAATTAACTTTGCCATGTGTGTTATTCCTTGAGTGTATGTGAACATTCTTTCCATTTTTATATAGGGACATAGGACTGCTTTGGGTTGAGTTTGGCCCAGCCTGGGTTATTGGCTTTATTACCCTGTCATTGGTTTAACCAAATAGTCTTCTTCGGGATTGTGTTGCACCCTGTGATAACTACCATTTCCGTTTGGGCTTCTACAGCAAGAAGGGGCAGCAGTGCTTTGGAAGCCACAAGGCATCACTAGTGTCCAGGTGGTGGCATGGCCTGAGGCTGCTCATACAGTCAAGCTGGTGAGGTTGTGCTTCTAGAGGAAGCTCCATTATTACCTGCAGCCTCACTGTTGGGCCCTTTAGTCTGAGCCTTAGTGAGACCCTCAGAAATGTACCTTTGCTCTATACCATAAAATGTAGAGAATAAAAGTTGCATGGTAATATACAGAGAAGTAAAGCTGAATCATGATGTCACTGTCACTGTCTTAGCTTAATATATCTGTTTTGTGTTTAGATAAAAGTCATGCACCACATAACAACATTTTGGTCCACAGGGGACCTTATACACAATAATGATCCTGAAAAATCCCTGTCCCCTAGCAACATTCCCTGCACCCATAAGGTCACTGCACAGCCCATTACTGCCCTATTTGTGGTTCTGGTGATGGAAACAGACCTACATGTAAAGGCATAGCACACACAATTATGCATAGTACATAATACTTGATAATAAACAACTGTTGCTGGTTTATGTATCTTTTTTTCTAATTTTTTTTTAGTTGTGGTTGAACACAATACCTTTATTTTATTTATTTATTTTATGTGGTGCTAAGGATCGAACCCAGTGCTTGGCATGTGCTAGCAAAGTGCTCTACCCCTGAGCCACACTTCCAGTCCCACCCCTGTACCTTTGATACTTTGTATCATTACTTTAGTGTGTGCTTCTGTTTATTTAAAAAATGTCACAGTAAGACAGCCTGTCCTATTGCCACTGGTAGCAGCCTCATGTCTCTTGATGACATCAAGAGGCCACACTGAGTGGATGATGTACCCTCTAGGTTTGAATAGGCACACTCTATCACACAACAACAAAATCACCTAATGATGCATCTGTCACAATGGGTCCCCATCGTTAAGTGATACATGACTGTATTTTGTGGCAGCATTTTCACTGTGAATTTGGATTTGACTGTCTTGGCTATTAATTTGAAGGTTATTTTGACCCCTTGACACCTGCGTAAAAACTGCAAAGACATTTTCAATCTGTCATTTGGCCAGGGAAAAATAATGTTGTTGTTGTTTTTCCAATTCCAAAGCACCATAGCTAATCAATGCAGAAGTCTTTATAGGACAATTTTCACAGAAGCAGAAATAGGACTGAAATCAAGCTGGAAGGGACATTTGAAATCTCCTGGTCTTACTCCTCAGTTTCTAGGCAAGAAAACGAAGGTGCAGACAAGTGAATAAATATCTTGCCTAAAGTCATATAGTTAAGAGAAAGATCTGGATTAGAATCTGAACACACTGCTTCTCCATACGCTGTGCTTTCTGCAATTCTGGCTCCAGATTCAACTAAGATCACAGTCAGAGGTTGAAAAGAAGTTGTATTGATTGGTCCCCCTATTCATGTAAATGATCCCCCACAAAATTTTAAATACTTGAAATATTTTGCTAATTGAGACTTTCATCTTGTGCAAACACAGGGCATTTTTGGAAGTTGGAGAACAAAGCAATCCCAGGTAAACAGAGCCATAGGCTCTCGATTGGCGTGTAACCAATTGTGCTTGACCAGCATGTTTGGAAATGTTAATTAAAGAAACAATTTAGTTATAGTCCACTTTGGGGGGGATGTGGTTTTGTGGAGTAACATGTCCTACACTATTCTACCAGAATTTGGAAATTTTCCATGAAGATGTACGGAAATCTGATGTTGAATATGACAATGGTCCCCAAATGGAATTACAAAAGGTGAGTTCGCCACATCTGTGTTCCAGCTGATAACCATGCAGATAATTACCTTCCCTTGCAGATCCATTGCTGATTAATGTGTGTGGTTTTCCTCCTCCACTCTTGCTTGCAGGTTACTGCAGGGGCTCTAAGACCTAGTGACCCTCCTCAGTGGGAAAGAGGAATGGAGAATAGTATTTCTGATGCATCCAGAACATCAGAATGTAAAACTGACATCTTAATGAAGGAAAATTCCATTTCCAATAAGAATTTATATAGAGACAGTAGAAACTATTCCCAGAAAAATATGCCAAAGGTCAGTTTCAGCTTCTCTGGCACGAACTCATTAGAAGATGAAATAATCCAAGGGCCCAAAGACTCAGGACTGCAGTACCCTGAGAATCAGAAGTTGAATTACGGAAAGACAAAGGAGATGGGTGAACGAGGACCGGAAAATACAGATAAGTGTCATGTTCCCTCCTCTGCCAGATCAACAGAATTGAATAGTCATGACATCAGAACACAAGATCAAGATGGGCTCATGACAAATATTAGCCAAGTTGTTCTAAGACCCAGAGGGACGAGGCATGGAAACCTGAATCCTCCTGATGATGGAGACTCAATTCCAGGTTCTCCCACTGAAGAAAATTCAGCCACTGACAACATCGCCTTCATGATCACCAAAACCGCTGTCCAGGTGCTGTCCAGTGGGGAGGTCCATGATATAGTGAGCCAAAAGGGACAAGATGTGCAGACAGTCAACATCGATACCAAGAAAGAGACGACCTCCCACCCAGAGGTGACTGAAGGCGAAGAGCCGGTCGTGTGCCTAGACAAGAAACCAGTTATCATCATTTTTGATGAACCCATGGACATCCGGTCTGCATATAAGAGACTTTCCACCATCTTTGAGGAATGCGATGAGGAATTGGAGAGAATGATGACGGAAGAAAAGATAGAGGAGGAGGAAGAAGAGGAAAATGGAGACTCCGTAGTCAAGAATGATGCTTCCGACATGTTTCCTACGCAGGTTGCCTCAGGAAGTCTGATTGTGGGACAGCAGACAGAGATGAAATCGAAGCCACTCTCCCTATCAGCAGAGACCAAGCCCCCGGCAGGACAGGCCATGAACCAAACGGAGCCAAGCAAGTTGAGCCTGGCAGATTCTCCAGATTCTGAAAGCAAAGGGGACGTGGCCGAGGACCAATTTGAAAGCCCCAAGAAAAAATTTAAATTCAAGTTCCCTAAAAAGCAACTTGCTGCTCTCACTCAGGCAATCCGCACGGGAACCAAGACAGGCAAGAAGACCCTGCAGGTGGTGGTCTACGAGGAAGAGGAAGAGGATGGCACTTTGAAACAGCACAAAGAAGCCAAGCGATTTGAAATCACCAGGTCTCAACCTGAAGACACCCTGAAAAATATGGCCAGGAGACAGGAGCAGCCCAGTTTAGAGAGCACAGTTCAGGTTTCAAGAACTGATGAAATTAGGAAAAATACCTACAGAACATTGGACAGTCTGGAGAAGACCATCAAACAGCTTGAAAGTACGATCAGTGAAATGAGTCCCAAAGCCTTAGTTGAGACCTCGTGTTCCTCCAACAGAGAATCTGTTGCAAGCTCATCCCACACAGCCCACGAGGCCCCTCCCCGAAACTTGCTAGTTCTGGATGAAGCCCCCCCTGCCCTAGAGCCCCCCACGTCAGTATCTTCAGCTTCACGTAAGGTATCTTGGTCTGGTGGAAAATGAAAAGACCCAGCTGCTTTTCTTAAATCTGCCATAATCACCATTAGCCAAAGGTGTCTTGTGATTTAATTGCTTCCTTTCAGGTGGCTCGTGGTTTTTTTGTGTGTGTTCGCCATGATCCCCTTCTCTCATCCTTTCTCACCTTCAAAACAACAACAACTAGGTGTCTAACAGCTAATTGATTCTGTTTTTACCTCTGTTGCTGATTGGTGTCGGGTAAACGTCCGGATGCTGGGTCAGCCATTGGCTCTGGAAATGATTGCTCTGATACTCACATTAAAATCCGTTTGATCAGTAGTGAGCAGTTGATTCTGTTTGATTCTTCCAATTAACCCACGTTGGTGTCTCCTAGATCTGTCCTGCATGTAGGGCTCTGGCTTCTCCCCTTGGCCTTCTCTGCGCACAGTGGGGGCAGCCTTGGTGATGATCCACTCACGTGCTTCTCTTTCTCTTCCCCCTCTCGCTGGTCCTTCCCACAGGGCTCCGGTGGGACCCCACAGACAAGCAGGATGCCCGTCCCTATGAGTTCCAAGAATAGACCCGGAAGCCTGGACAAACCTGGCAAGCAATCCAAACTGCAGGATCCTCGCCAATATCGTCAGGTAGTTTTACCTTAAACCCAATTTTGGATGGACATGATTTCCATTTTGAAGCAAGTCACTGACTTAGTTTATACCAAATACTATGTTTTCTTTGTAAGCTATGGTTTACAGTAGACATTCTGGATCTGGGGGCATGAAGAAAGTCTAAAAAAAAAAAAAAAAACCTTTGTTAAACTTTTCACCACGCTCTTGCATGCTTGCAATAAAACATCTTTTACTTTGTGACTCTAAATTTTAACTGTTAACACACGGTGCCAGACCAGTTGAATTTCCGTTGGTGAATGTAGTGCTTCATCAAGAACACGTTGGGAAGCAGAGACAAACCAACCTGCTGTTGAACTGCCCTTAAAGTCACCAATACTAACATCTGTGTTGACTGCATCTCTAGGAGTACATTAACTCTCCCATCAAAGTGTCCCACCCAAACCCAATAATAATCCCAATGCACGGCCAACCTTGCCCACAGGAAGTGGTAGTTGGAGTGACGTGACATGCTTTCTTCCTTTCCGTCTGCCTGGACATCCTTTGCTATGTGGTTGGACTGGGGTGGGAGGTTGGGGGTGGTGGTGGTGGTGGGGATCTGCCAGGTCTAGAAAAGCACAAGACTTAGTTCAGGCCTTGAACTATTTTGTTATTCTTTTATTGGATGAGTCTCAGAAGGGCTGTGTTGCCAGGCCCTGTGGGCTGATCGTGTTACCAGCTTTCTGATAAACTGTCTTCCGCCATCTTTGTTTGCAGGCTAATGGAAGTGCTAAGAAAGCTGTTGGGGACTGTAAGCCTACTTCCCCCTCCTTACCTGCTTCTAAGATTCCAGCCCTTTCCCCCAGCTCTGGGAAAAGCAGTTCTCTGCCCTCTTCTAGTGGTGACAGCTCTAACCTTCCTAATCCACCTGCTACTAAACCATCGATTACTTCTAACCCTCTCAGCCCTCAAACAGGACGATCCACTCACTCCGCCTCCCTCATCCCTTCTGTCTCTAATGGCTCCTTAAAATTTCAGAGCCCCCCTCACACAGGTAAAGGTCACCACCTTTCATTCTCACTGCAGACTCAAAATGGCCGAGCAGTCCCTCCTTCCTCTTCCTCCTCCTCCCCTCCCTCCCCTGCCTCCCCGACCTCCCTCAGCCAAGGTGCCAAGGGCATCAGGACCATCCATACTCCCAGCCTCACCAGCTACAAGGCACAGAATGGAAGTTCAAGCAAAGCCACCCCTTCCACAGCCAAGGAGACCTCTTAAAGGCCAAATCCTGTTAGGCCCAAGTCGGAGTTACATATTTTGTTTTGTTTTGTTTTTCATTTTTAGCAGTCTGCAACAACTGTTTTCACAAGAGAATGTAACATATTGCTGTACTGTTTGAGGCTTAATGACAAGTTTGTGCTAAATACTGGATTAATAGATCTCGGTAAAGCTTGTTTGTTTTTTACTTTGTTGCTGTTGTAACTACGTAGTGTTTACTGTCTAGAATGACACCTGTCAAATGGAGTGAGCATGTTGCTACCAAAAAGAGAGTTTGGGGAGCGGACAGGGTGTGTGAGAGATGGGGGAAACTGTATTAAGCATGTAAAACATGTATGATTCCAGAACTTTAGTATGTTTTGTATAAAAATATTTTTCATTACGGAGACTAGAAGTGAACAGAGAAATACACAAGTGTGACTATATAAATTGTAAAACAGATACTATAATATTTCCTTTTATTTTAGTGTTATTTAGCTTTATTACAGATTTCTATTTTTGTCAAAACTTCATGGTTCCTTTCAAGATCTTTTTTGCCAAAACATTTTGATACTATAGCATTGTACATTTGAAAGTAGTGTGCTAGACTCTAAGCCAATGAACTTCTACGCAAGCCAATAGGGAGGCTTCTGTAGAAAGCAGTTTATCAAAACTATTGCACTGCCATTAAAAGTATGTATAATAATTTGCTAGCCCAAGTAAGCTTGTTTTCTTTGCTTTTTTTTTCTTTTCTTTTTGTTTTTCTTTTAAACATGTTGAGATTCTCTGGTTGTTTTCTTTACAGTTTCGAACCCCTTCCTTCATTTTCTGAGACCTGGTAACCCACACTATTGCATTGTGGATTTTAAAATGTACACTTCTGTACGGTTCTGTAAACTGATCAACTTTTGTAAATATATAAATAGACAAAAATACTGTATGTGATAGCACATAGAGTAGTTTTCCCACACCAAAGTTAATTTTTATGCATGCTTTAAGAAGATATATTGGAATGGGCAGAAATGGGGCTATCCATACATTTTTAAAAAGCAACGAGTTTGCACAGCTAGAGTGTTTTGTAAATAAATGTATTTGTATAACACAGTCATGTAATATACAGAACTATGAGCAGAGACTTTGCAAAACTAAATAAAGGGCTGCATGCTTATTATTTTTTGTACCTTGTCACTATAACTACTTCCGAGTCTAAGAACAAAATGTAACTATTACCAAGTTAAGTGTTTTGGGCTTTGAGGGCATTATAAGTAACATGTAACTCAACAACCTCTCAGACAACACTGCTTTTCTGAAAACTCTGGGGTGACTAATGATGAGTTCCTAATAAATTAAATGCAAGTGTCGTAACTTGTATGTAACCTGCCGACTCACTCTCTTCTTTGTGGCTTCTCAAGGTTTGGCTAAGAGAAAGCAAACCTGGTTGCCTGCCGAGTTTCCACCCTCACTTCCTGGAGAGCCTCTTACTTCTTTCTCTGTTTTCTTACATTTCCGGTAGAAGTAAAATAGAAATAAAATGACTTTACCACTGAGATTTATTTTTTGAGTTCTCAATTGGAAAAAAAAAATGACGTTAGTCTAGAGGGAAATATACTAGCAAATACCACACTATTGTTTTCATTTTTAAAAAATAGGAAAGTTGGTGAAAACACCAAAATTATGAATTGACTACAGAAACAAACTTAGGAATCTGCTTATCATTCTTTTCCTCCTCCAAAATACTTAATTTGGTGGCTTGGTGTAAACTGGGAAGTCTTACTTACACTTTAGAACCCAGTTGTATGATCCCAAACCTCAGAGTTCCTGAGCTGGGATGCTTTCACGTGAAACACTTTCTTTTGTCTCATCACGGTAATGGTAATCACATGTGTTAGCACTTAGCAAGCATTTAGGTATAAAAGGTTGCCACATTTCAGTCATTTCCCCTGGTCTCACTACATTAAATTTATATGTGTATATTGACTACTATAATTATTTTATGTAATATATATATATACACACACACACATACACATTAACTAGCGAGTCTATGCCAATGTATTTGCTTCTCTCTATGAAGAGAATTCTCTGTGAGCAGCTAAATAGCACACTGTGGCTCACGTTTCCAGTTTGACCTCAGACTTCCCATTACTTCGGCAAGGTCATGCAGGTAACAGTTCATTTCAGCCAAGGTAAGGCTGCAGGGCAGAGCCCTTCTCCAAGTAAGGGACAGCTTAGCTCAGATCCATGATTTCCCCTGACTGCTGCTTCCTCCTCAGCAAACTGGAAACTGCCGGAGTGCAGATCCCAATCCAGGTGTGCACAGGCCGCCTATGACCACACCGACCAAAAAGGCACCCGTCATAAACTGTGTGCCTTGACTTTCCTGTTTTAGTCTGAGATACCTTGTAGGAAGCCCAGGGGCACCCTGTCACCTTTGGCCCAGTGAAGACTTTCCCTCCCCACGTGGTTGTTTGTAATTAACCCCCCATTTGCTCCTCATCTCTCTGACCTAAAACTCAACTCACAGCAGCTGACCATGGTAAGCCTAACGGGCAACTCCAGAAACATATAAATAAGTTCCCCCTTCCTACATTTTCCTCAAACCAGCCAGTCCACACCCCCACGGGAAAGCCCAAGACAGAGCAAGCCCACGGGCCTTGATAAGGACATGGACCCTCACCCTCTTTCGCTTGTCCCCATCTGCCTACGGAGCTCTCTGCCGCTTCCAGGCTTCCTGTCAGCTCCCATCTGCTTCCGAACCTCTCTAGGATCTGTAAGTAATGAATTTCTTTTGTTTTGTGCATTTTGATCCTTTGTGTCTCACCTGAACAACCCCCGACCCTAGCCAACCCCACCTCCCATCAGGACTCTCTAGAGTTACTTGGCTCATGGCCACTCCCAAGAGACCCCCCCCCAACAGAAAGAAACTTTTTAACAAAAAATGACAGCTTCACCTCAGTCACTTGAACATCAAAAGTGTGTGATGTTAGGCAGGATGAACTGCTGCATTTCCAGATTTTTTTTAATTCTTAACAGACTCACTTAAGGGAGAGTTTGTCATTTAACGAATAAATCTCTAGATCTAAAAAAAAAAAAAAAAGCTTAGAAATAAATTAGATGAGCTCTTCAGAATCATTCAGTATCAAGTCACTGAGTCACCTTGCTGAGTGCCTCTTGTGCAGAGGGCAGGACAGCAGGTAGGGGGTGACTGTGACCTGTGACGTCAGTGCTGCTTCCTGGTTGTGCAACTTTGAGCACATTTTGCTTTTGTCCTCTGTCAATAAAGGAACCTACCTGGTAGGATTATTGGGAGAATTAAATACAGGACTCTTAGACTGAGCCTAACACTTAATGCTTCTCCACAAAGGTTAGGATTACAGTGATCACAGCTGTGATGGTGGCTGAGGCTCCTGGCCTGGATGAGGGTGGCGGGGGAGCATGAACATGCTTCACATGTGAGGTGGATGGGCCAGGCTGAGTTCTAAAGGTTGGCTGCAGGAGTCCAGAGCAGAGGTCTTTTCTAGTATTTCATGGCGGTGGTGGCATTTGGCCCTCAGGGGTCTTTTCTCACAGAACCTTTAACAGTGTTGCAACATTCCAGAAGCTGCTTGTCTTTTAGTGCTGCTTGCTACTAGAATTTTTTCCAGTGTAAAACAGACATTGACACAAACTTGGAGAAAAGCCAAGGCCCTGGGAATCATGGCCACAGAAAAGCAATCTTCTGTGGAGTTGCCTTCTCAGGCTAGGGAGCAGGTGCTCCCAAATTGCCCATCTAGATGCCCAGATGGTGCCCATCACTGGGCAGAGTGCCAGGAACAAGACCCACAAGGAAAGAAGACACATCCACTGGGCACAGACAGCAGGTTTAGCCATCACCCACACTCTTCCTGGATGGATTCATAGGCAAACCCAGTCCTCTTCCCAAATGCCCACTCTATAATTCTTAACCAACTTCCTTTCTTCTCCAGTGCTCTGTAAAGGCGGACATTTGAGCAACCAGGAAGCTTTTTGGAGGGAGTTAGAGAAATGATAACTGCTTTAACCAACTGAAAGGTAGTTTTGCAAAAGTGACCAGACATTGTCCAGGAAAATGCCACTGGCCGTGCAACCAAAGTCCCTGATCTTTGCTGCTGAGCAGGTAACGTCCAAAGACTGAAGAATCCCAAGAGCACAAAATCCTGTGGAGGAGAAAAATCCAGGCCCTGCTAGAGCTCTGGTTCCTCTAGCTCTGGAGATGACACCTATCTTAGAAACCAGTCCCCACCTGGATGACCCAGAAGCAGGAGAGTTAATTATGTGCAACACACTGTGTCAAAAAAGGAGGAGTTTACATTGCCTACCTTAGGTTTAAACATAAATGCTTATTGGTTTAAGTGCCTAGGATTTACAAAGATTCCTTAGTCCTTGGGTCAGCAATAACGACCATCTGTTGCCCATTAGGAACCAGGTACATTAGGCACTAAGGTGTTTCACACCCATTGTGGTTATTTTGATTCTTCTTCGTTTTTTTTCTCTTTCCTTTTCTGTCCAGCCATTGCTTTTTAATTCTCACAAACTCCCTGTGAGGACTTTATTTTGCCTCTGCATCTCACTGTAGGCCCCAACCTTCCAAGCCCTGCCTTGACAGGCCACACCGAGGTCCTGCCCAAGCTTCACTCTGTTATCTATAGGATGCCTTCTCCTCCTCCTGTCCTCCTCCCGGCCTTGCTAGGCCTGACCCCCTGCAATCCTCCTGCAACCTTCAATCACCTGCTGGGGGTGCTATAGCTAAGTTCTTCCAAGCACCTCCTAAAGGGGTTCTCTAGAGCTATGTTTCCTGAGGCTTTAGACCACGGACTTATGAAGACACTTCAGCCTCTCAGGCTTCGGATCAAAACTTGTTGAATTTCAATCAAATCTAAGGTCCTCTTTTAAATATGAGAGAGAATTCTTGATGTATCCTACCTACTCTCCTAATTTCCAAAACAAAATATTACAGAAAGCCTTAACAGTTGTATAATAAGGGCATCGAACTAATCGGCAAAATTCAGAGGAGCGCTGGGGACTTAAACGCCATACATGTTGGGTGATGAGACTTTTCTCAAAACAATGAACAACCCTTTTTAAAACTTCAGACAGGTCTGGGGATGTGGCTCAGTGGTAGAGTTCTTGCCTAACATATATACAAAGTCCTGGATTTGTTCACTAGTGCTTTTAAAAATAATAATAAAAAAAAAACCTTCAGACAAAACAAAGCATAATAATTCTCCCTTGTCTTACACATTTCTGGAAAATTTATAGCATATTTTCAGAAAGAAAAAAAACCAGGCATGGTGGTGCACGCCTGTAATCCCAACAACTCAGGATGCTAAGGCAGGAGGATTGCAGGTTGAAAGCCAGCCTCAGCAAAAGCAAGGCACTAAGCACCTCGGCCCCTGTTTTTAAATAAAACACAAGAAAGGACTGGGGATGTGACTCAATGGTTGAGTGCCCCTGAGTTCAATCCCCAGTACCACCCCCCCCAAAAAAAAAAAGAAAAATATAAAATGGAATTGGCCCCGGGCTCAGATAATCATAGCAGGGTTTTCAAAATGCCAGTGGATGTTACCAGGTCCTGCTAGGGGTGGGTCCTGCTACACATCTTCCTGAGCAAATGTCTAACATCCTGACCACACTCAATGCCAGCTCCACCACCATTATAGAAACAACTAAAACACTCTCCCACAGATACCCAGAATCGCCCCTGAGTGGCAGTCCTTTGACTGAAAACCACTGGCATGGAATGATGGACCCGGGCTTCATTATCAACCCCCAAGTGCACAGGATCCCACAATAAGGAGCCACCATGGGACTGGCCTGGTGACCCCTCTGCACATGATGGTGGCACTTCAGAACATACATAGAGCTCAGTTATGCCTCAACATTCTCTACCATGGCTGGAATTTCCTGTGAAACCTAAATTCATTTTTGTTCTTGTCATTTGTACCTGGAGGGGTAAATGATTAATCCATAAGCAACTGTGAGGAGGGAGGGATGGGAGGTCTCGGAAAGGTGAGTGGCAATGGGTGGAACTGCTGAAGCTCTGGGTGGAGGGGGACTTGTCACTCAGAACCAGGCAGCACAGATTGCAGATGCCTTCTCCCAACTGATCTGCTAACAGGAAAAGACAGGAACAGTGAGACACACCAACAGCAGAGGAACGCAAGAAAGCCCAGCCTTTCATCAGCATAGCCTTGATTCACCTGCCAGAGTCTCAAACTGGCTGTAGGCTGCTGTCACCTGGAAAGTGCTCAGAGGTACAAATTGCCAGGTGATGCTAATCGTGTAGCAGGACTGAACCACAATCTCCCTGAGAGGGGCAGTGGGCAATCAGAAAAATAAAGGTGAGTTAACTATTGCC